CCAAAAGGAAGTAAGGGAGTTCAGATGACAGCTGGGACAGGAGATTGTCATGGCATCTTTAAAGGCTGGTTCAATCTCCAGAACAACAATATGTAAATTAAAAGCATGCATCTATTTTATTTTACATTATAAATCCATAATAAAACTATTTGTGTTTATAAGAAGCAAAAAACATAGTCTCAGATCCATAAACTTGAGTGTCAAGAGTGGTTTCTCTAGAACTGAGATTTGCTAATATTCTGCTTCTACAAAAGAAGAAAAACGTGGCCTTGGATGATATCATTGAGTGGCAGGCACTGAGTAGTTTCAGTAGACACACACAGATACTTCATTCTCTCAGCTGAGATGGTCGAACAGAAATAATATCTTCTTAGCAAGCCCAACTAGTGTCCAGATGTTGACTCTAGCAGTATTAGCTCAAAATAGGACAAAAGGTTTCCTCAGTGAAATAGCTGATTCTAAGGCTGGGACGGAAATGTGCAGAATTAGCCTCGACAGTGTACAGTGCCAGAAAGGGAGGAAGTGCTAAGAACCAAACCACAATGACACAGGCATGTGAAAGGAGAATCTGGCCAACTGAATGAGCTCACAGTGGCCCAACATGGAACAATCTAAAGGAAGCAACAAACTAAAGGAAGTAACATTGAACTATCATCCCAGCATAAAATAAATACCATGGGTCAATACTGGTGCAAACAAATGATTAAGTTAATTAATAAATAAAGGAGAAAGAATAAATCTCCCTTTTAGAAAAATTTCCTTAACTGTCGTAGAGGGTCTGAGCTAAAGGGAGAGAATCATCACCACTTGTCATGGTGCTGCATGGAGAAACACAGAAAGAACAGATGCAGCAACTTACTTTGGAGAAACCTGGCAAATGTTACCTCAGCCAGAAGATCAAGGTCAACCACAAAGAGGAGAAACTTAGTTAACATCTACCCTTGATAGGATGCAGTGGAAGTTACAGTTTATGGGTCTTCCTCTCATCACCCATTATCTGTGCTGCTGCTAAGACTAGTTCTAGCAGTGAGGCATCCCTGTACCATCTGATCGTACTCCTCAAACTATCAAGGTCAAGATCCTGACTGACTTGTGTCTCCCTTGGAAAGCATTCTCTTTCTTCTGTTTCATGCCCGCAGCATTGAGCAAATGGCAGCCATTTCACAGTTGCTGTTAATGCCACAAGTACTGAATTTTTTCCCAAAAAAGAAAGTTTCTCTAACACAGTAAATTATGACTCTTAGCTTACCTTCAGCAACTGTCCTACCAGCTCAAACATCTGGTCATTTTTGTACAAAAAAAAAAAAAAGAAATGTGTTTTAGGTGTTCTCAAGTTTCTTAAACAAGTTAAAGAAAGACCAAGAGGACAGAATAAATCTAAGAGCAAAGCAAAACGCTGTAAGTATTGTCTGGCTTGAGCTAGCTATTTTATCTGAACTGGATAAAGGAATTGAAGCCTTGGCTTTGAAAGTTACTGTTGATTTACTGCAGTTGGTGTTGTTTGGGCACTGTGCACAACCTGAGGAAGTGGTGTATACTTGGAAAGAGGTTTCACAGAGAGGCAGGTTGACATTACTGCCAGCAAATTCCTGTCAGATTGCAGCAGGGTGATCTGAAGGCACATACCCCCAGCCCTGGCCTTGGTGCCCTGATCTGTGAAGTCTTGGCAGTAAATTGTCAGGAGGCTTGAATGAGAACATTCAAAATGCTTGCTGCATAACCCAAACTTTAGAATACTTTACATATAATTTTTGATGTAGGGTCTCGCTATATGGCTCAGTTTGGCCTTGAACTTGTGGTCCTCCACCTCAATTTCCCAAGTGTTATCATAACAGGTGTGTTCCACCAGGCCCAGCCTAAAAACGTACTTTTAACAACTTAAAGTAGTCTTGAAGTGGAGTGCCTATACTATGATTTCCCCAGATGCCAATATCAGAAGCTTGGAAGGGACCGGTAAGAAAGGGGCTAAAAAAACATGGATGTTGGTGTAGATGGTGAGTAGTGGTGAGAATTACCCTGCTGGAGTAGGTACGGATCCTGAATCTGTGACCAAATTTATCTAAATCTATCTGTGAACAAAATTATCTAAAGCAAGAGTCTTACCTACTTAGATAACCAGATGACTTGAAGCTAGCCACCATATTCATGGCCATGGAGCTTTATGGATATTACAACAGGAAAAATTAATCTATCTTCTGAACAGTGCCCCACCTCCAACCGCTGATGGCATTGATGACCTATGTGTGGTGTATTTATGTGTGATGGGGACAAGGAGGGAAGGAGGGGACAGGAAAGAGATATCCCCTAGATATTCATTCCCAAACAATGCTCTGAGAACTGGTGTTATTGTTATTTTAGAAACAAGTCCACTCAAAGAACAAGTTGAAATAAAAGTCAACCCAATCTCTACTACCCTTGCTCTTTGTGATAAGAAGACAACTTCTGTATTAGCAAAAACATAAACACATGCAATAAACACAGTCCTCACCCTATGCAGGCCATTGCATGTAGGCAAGGCCTCCTCACTGCATTGGCTTAAGCTACAGAATGGCAGGAGTGCATATGCTGTTACATGACAGAGGTGCTGTGGGGAACAAGTGCCTGAAGCTTACCAAGGACTGTTAAGTGGTATCAAATCCTCTGTCAGGTAATTGCCTTTGAGCCTAAAGGGACAGTTAAACCAACAATACCATGCTAGTATCTTTTTCAACAGATAAAGTGGATTCTAAAATTTCATAATGTCTAAATTGGGTGCTGCTGTTGGGGAAGCAAGGAAATTTTCTAGTCAAGTGCTTTTTATGAATAATTGTCTGCTTCAGGAATGCAAGTTAGAATTCTCAATGGGGTAGACTGCAGACTTTCCACAGCAAGGCAGACTTGCTTTTCCACCATGAAATGAATTGCGGCTCAGTAAACCTGTAACCCATGCACCAGGCTCCTGAAATAGCATTCCCAAGTAGCCAAGTTCACTGCACCCCACTGAAAAGTGTCACATTTCAAGTCTATGTTGTGGCGCAGTCCCTCACCACTGTCAAACTGGAGGACCTTTGCGCATTTATCAGTGGACTGTCCCTTCCCTCCTCCAACCTGTCATTTCATTTTCTCCACTGCTTCTCCTCGCTTGGCACTACAAGTCTCCCTTCTCTTTCACCGGAAACAGACATTAGTCTTCTAAATTTCCAGGCTTCTGGCCCGTGCAAGGTCATTCTCTCCTTACATTAAGGTCAGCTTGTGGTATGAGCTCTCTCCCTTTGCCCTTCCCATTTCCTATTCATTTAAACATGCATTGATCAGCTCTGCCTTTCTCTCCCCCTTTCCTCTCCCACAAACATACTCCACTGATTGCTTTTACTAGCTTAGATGGTTTCTTAGTTGTTATAGACTAGGGATGTCTATGTCAGTGTCTACCTTAATGTACCAGTGGTCATTGACACTCTGTAACTGACACTGTAATATCTCCTTATAACTTTCTAGAACTTTTGGAGTTCATTCCCCAGGCTCTCCCCTCCCCTGGCTATTCTTCCTCATTCCCTTTAGCACAGGTTCCTCCTGTGGTTGCACACAATGAACCCTTTGCATACTGTCTGAGTTAGGGTTTCTGTTGCTGTGATAAAATACCATGAGGGTAGGAAAACATTTATTTGGCTTACATATGCTGAATTTCTGTCCATGAGGGAAGATAAGGCAGAAACTCGAATGCAGCAGGAACCTGGAGTCAGGAGCTGATGCAGAGGCTGTGGAGGAGTGTTGCTTACTGGTTTATTCAGCCTGCTTTCTTATAGAACCCAGGACCACCAGCCCAGCTGTGGCCCTCCCACACCAATCAGTAAGTCACAAAATGTCTTGTAGGCTTGCTTATAGCCCAGTCTTGTGGACACATTTTCTCAATTGAGAGTCCCTCCTCTCAGATGACTATAGCTTGTATAAAGTGGTTATAAAACTAGCCTGAACACATACTCTCTAGGGAGTTATCTTAATCTCTCCCAGGGCTTTGGCTTCTAGCTTTAAGCTGCCCTCTCCCTGCCTCTAGCTATCTTTAGGTTGCACTTTTGAGGCTTTCTAGCTCTTTCATGGTTATCTCTTGCATACCTTAAACTCATTTTGTCCAGAATATCTACATTTACTGCAAATGTCCTCTTCCTACCCTCTCTTCTCAACCTAGAACTCCCCAATCTACTCATGGTCCTGAACACTAAAAATAGCATAAAATCAAGGATTAAAAAGTAGTGACCTTAAAAAAAAAGTAGTGTCCTTGAAGCAGACTGCCTGAGCTTGGTTCTCACCTGTCCAGTTTGCTAGCTATAGCTGCTATAATAGGGCTACATTTATATCTATCTGGGCCACTGGTTCCTCAACTAGAAAATGGAGACAATAATAATACCAACATTACAATGATGTTATGGAGATCAACTAAAATGACTTTTGTAAAGCACCACACTCTGTAGGTATGGATTTGCCTCTTCTTCCACTTTAATATTAAACACATAGACCATAACATTTCCTATAGTTGAAAAGCTTTCAGCCTCCACTATTAACACCCAGGCTCCTCCCTTTTCTAGGATGACCTATCATGGGCAACCTTGGACCTAACCTGGTGATCCAGAGAACTGTAGTTAAATATTTTTAGTATAGATTGAACAAAATAAATGAAACAGACAAACTGTCTCTCTCTCTGTCTCTGTCTCTGTCTCTCTCTCTCTGTCTCTCTGTT